TAGTACAGCCAGGAGCCCCTAGTAGCGTTCTTGCTCCTAGTAGCGTCCTGGAAAGAGGTCGTCCTTTCCAATTCTAACATTATATGAAGCTTGGAATTTATGTCGATCAAGATCCGGTCTATCAACCGTCTGAGCACGTGTCATCTTCGAAACGATATCTACCTGTCCCAGGCCTTCCAGGCCTTCCAGGCTCCTATGTGAGCCTTATTCTCCCAGCTTCTTCTCATCCATCAACTTCCCCATGGTGAGCTTGGCTGACTGAAGCTCGGTCTCTTTGACATGCAAAGCCTCTTCCGCTGCCCTACGCTGCTGCATCTCCTCGTCCAGTTGCTTCTGGATATCCACCAGCTTCAAGACGCCTCGCGTCTTAAGGATGCTCAGTGATGTTCCCAACCATTCGTGTCAGTGAAAAGAGTATAACATGTGAACAGGTTGGTGGTTTCAGCCAAAAAGATACGGATCATTGAGATTAGCCATCACGGGTCAAGGTTGACAATGAAACATCTTGAAACCACCAACATTATCAGTGAAGCTGGAGTCTAGTGTTGTTTTTGGTTGCTTGGCGCAAACACACCTGCTATGAGAGGGTTTGGTGTGGTTTCAACTAGGGGACACATGCAGAAGGCACCTGGCTTGCCGGACACACAGACCTGGTGAAACCTATCTGTGGATTCGGTGAGCCAGGGCTTTTAGAAGCAAAATTGTCATTGGCTGCTGCTGCTGCTGCTGCCGCTGCTGCTGCCGCTGAATTTACTGAACAATTGTTCGAGGGCTCAACACAGTTCTCCATTCTCTCGTTCACTGATTTCAATGCAAAGCCAAATGTCTGTGTCAAACACTTCAATTGATAAAGCAAGGGAAACACAATTCTTCCATCCACCCGCAAATATTTGACTTCGCCCTTGCGTGGCCAAAGCACCTAGTGCCGGATCCTCCACCTCTGCCCGTGGCAAAGGCAGCGGTGCAACCGCCTCTGTCGATTGAGTCGGCTCGGGCGGCCCTGGCGGGTCCGGCACTGCGGGCAAACTGGGTGTGGATGAAGCCTCTGAGTGTCGCCACTGCATGCTCCACGCCTGAGTGATAAGATGATGTACAAACACCAATGTCAAAGTAGATGGAGCACTGGAGCAATCACGAGAGCAATTGTGAGTGCAGGCAGCCCAACTAGGCTTTGTGCAATACACGCAGGAGTTGTGCCATCTACAGCTCGAATCAGCCTTTAGGCACGAACAATCAAAGGCTGTGCATCGCCATTTGCTGCGGCTACGCGACCAAGGCTGAGAGATAAGCTGTGGCCATGCTGAGAGCTTCGCGGGAACCGTCCAAGTTGTCACTCACAGCCTCGGTCAACTTCACGATGAGGCTTTGGATGTCTTGCAAGTCCTCGCCTCCCAGGAACCGTCAGGGCTCACGCTGAGGCATGCCAAAGGCATAGCTGCAAAAGGGGTAAGTACACGCAAGTATAGCACGTGGTTTCCAAACCAGTGCTTCGTGTTCTCTTCACAAAGAAAATGTTGCCCTTGCCCTCCAGGCCTAAAGTAGCCATCTCCCAAGTGGAAGGGCCATAGCACAAGAGTTGCACCAGGATGCCTGCGCAGTGCGCTGCCAGATGTATCAGCCCGCACTCCATGGCATCCCGAAGCAAGCTGCGCAGATCATCCACCAGGCCGGGCTCCTGAAAAATTGCCAGGGACAAAACACCCACTGACCGTCTGACCGTGACTGATCCCCAAAAGATATCAAAACAAGGAGCCAATCCATATATATATATATAACTCGAATCGGTCGTCTTCCATTTGAATCCACGCGTGTTCTCCTCTGTCAAGTCCGTCTTTGTGCCATGTGGTGCCTCTTTGGAGACTAGACATTCACCCAAACAAAACATGGTCCCCTCCAGAAACGCGGGGGCCCAGTCACAAAACACAATCAGATTCGTTCCAGAAACAGTACATGGCAGGCTCAGACTCAGACAGCTGTACTGTATGTGGTTGCCTTTGTTCAATCACCTGTCTAGTCACTGGCCAGCGGTCGCAGGGGCGTCCTGTATGCAGTGGAGACAATGCTCTGGTGCACGATTTAGCAGCCTCGTCAAAGTCCATCCGGGGATTGATCTCAAGAAAGCAACTTGGGTTCATGAGCCGTGTTATTCTTCTGCATCATAAGTCATTAGAGATATCATGATATCAGTTTAAACATCAGAAGTCCCCCAATTCCCTAGATCGCTCTCATAGACAGGCACTCTCGACCAGGTGAGGTCAATTTCCTCAAGATGCAGGTCTGGTCAGCACTGTGAGCACTATGTGAGCACCAATAAAGCAAGTATAGACCAAGATGTTTGACCCCATGCTTCCCATCCCCATCCCCACAGTCCATCTCAGCAACTTGCGCAGGGCGAAGGGATCCACAAGATGCCTTGTTCTTAGCCATTTCCAGTAGTCGTAGCCTGGACGTGTCGAAAAGCAAGCTTCCAACCAGCTGATGCTACCACGAAGAAGGGACCAATTTGAGGGTCACATGTCACACTGTCCATTGCGCCTTCTCGCAATGATGGAGATCTCACTGAGCCTTCGAGCGGTGCTCGGTGGGCCAGCGGTGCTTCCAAAACTGGACTCTTGCTTCATCGTCCACTCATTTGGAGCCCCATTTTGTCAGCTACCTTCATGATACCCTCCTGGTTCCTGTGCTGTGGCATCGATCAGGAAAACCCATTCAAGCCCAATGACAGTTTCGGTGAGGAAAACCCATTCAAGCACTACAGGATACTACAGGGTATTCGGGGTCATGAACTTGGAAATGTCATGACTCCTGTTGTGGTATCCTCAAATATGTACTAAGAATTCACACTGGAAGTGTACTCAATCACACACTATGTTGACCGGTCCCGGCGCACGCCGTCTCCCGGGCCTTCGGAGACCCAGCAGGTCATGGGTTCTACATGCTCCGCCTGGGAGGACGTTTGTTTATGGTACCACTGAAGTGACCCAGTTGGAGAATTGGTATTTTTAGAGAACCATGGAAATGGAAAGGATGGTTTGCAAAATACCTCAAACCATTGTGACATATCATGACACATCGTCACATGCGAAACCGCTTGAAGGCCGGCTGTGGCTTCCACTCATTGAATCAATCAGGTGTGTTGCACGTGCGCAATTCTCCCGTCCTCTTCCGTGGTCCATTGGATCTGCAGATTAGTGTGGCCATATTTCAGAAAGCGAGCAGGATGCCAAGCTCCTCTCCACAGAGCTTCCAACTCATCTCCCTCTTGCCACCTCAATGGAAGGACTGAAGCTTTAAACATGGATCACATTGACATCTCGATCTGGCAGCGCAAAGGAAGAGCCTTCCTGTGACTGCTGCAACCAGGAATGTCAATTCCAGCCACAGGTTTCTGGACGATTTCTGAAACATCGGAAACCTTGCAAGCGGCATGCACAAGTACGAATCCACATCATCCGCAGCCTGTTGCAATCTTCTTTTGGCCTGGGGCCTATTCCAATCAAGCTTGCGCAAGACCCTGCTGCGTGGGGTTCTGGGCCCAGGCAAAGTCCCTGAGGGTTTGAAGCCCTTGATTGATCAGCTCCCCTCTTCAGCGCCTCCGCCGTCCTTCACCCAGCCACCCCTGTCGGTTTCTCCCGCTTGACAAGCCCAGCGTCTCAGAGTTGGTGGGCTTCTGCAATTTCGTGCACCGTACTGGGCTTGAGATCTTCAGGAAAGTTCCTCAGGCGGCATGAAATGTTTCCTGTTTCCGGTTGGATTGCATCATAGACATTACATTGCATAGCGTTACGTTACATACATTCATACAAGTTGTCAGTTAGGAGGAAACCATGTTGAGGGCAACTAACTAGACCTGCTGCCGATGCCCAGATTTGGATTGAACTGTTTGCTAGCAGCAGTGCTACGTAGCTGTTCTCACTTCTTTCATCATGTGTTTTGTCTCTCTAAGCCACAGCCTATTTACAAGGTGGCTGGGCTGGATAGCGTTTAGTGATGCCAAACCTAAAGTAATTGCTTTTGCACACGTCTGGCTCCAGGTGATCAATCGGGGTCAGAATGACCAAACATGACTTTTAATCTATACGGCCCACTTCCAGGTCCCACGTGTGACAAAACACGCCAAGTTCTTGACTCGGATTCCATGACCAAAGAGCGGCCAAGGTTCATCCTTGAACCAGCCATTGACGTTAAACGAAACCTTTCAGGGACCCCGAAGTACCAAACCCTGTAGGCAACCTCGATATAATTCTATGTATATTATATATATATATATATCTTTGTGTCAAGTGTTCCTCCCTTGGTTATGTACGAAACACATCTCATAGCCATAAAACGAGCCATGTGAAAACGAGCCATTTGAAAAATAACAGCATTTAAGAGACAAATAAGGTACAAATAAAGATTTAACAAATAAGGAACAAATAAAGGCAAATAAAGGACAAATAAGAGAAAATAAAGGACAAATAAGAGCAAATAAGATCAATAAGAGTCAAGAACCTCTTGTTATGACAGGAGTCAGTTGTCCAAGGATCCTGGATGAGTTCATGTTAATTTGAATAGAGAATGAATGAGGTCTTAAAATTATATAGTTCAAAGACGATGGAAGATAGACCCTGTTCAGAACCTTCATTGGTCGTTGCTTTCCACACTACATGTCCACAATATTGCTGAGGGAAAGACCCAGCCTGACCCATGTAACTATATGTTCATGGGGGTAAGTTGACGTGATTATAGTAGTTATTTCAACCAACTACCCTAGCAGTGGATAAATGAATCCTCACCTGCACCCATAGAATAGAGACACACCCAAGATTGTGCGTTTTTCATCTCAAGATCTTTCTCAGATCAGAAGACGCATCATGACCTCTCCAGTTCAAAGGTCCGACACTGACACTTGCAACACATTCATTCAGCAGGTAGTAGGGCGGATGGCAAACACACAAACAATCCAAATGATCTTATGACAATGCTGGTGACACTTCTGAATTGAACATAGTTTTTTCTTAATGGCGTCCACCCCGTGATCTGCCCGTTTTGGCCTTTGGTGCAGCTTTGCTGGCCTTTGGCATAGCTTTGCTACGGCCACGGCCACGGCCTTTAGCCTTTGGCAAAGCCGCTGCTGACGACGAGGCCACCTCTTCCATACCAGTGTCCGCATCTAGCATACCCGTGTTGGCATCGAAGTTGCTGACGACAGCAGCAATCATTTCTTCTGTAGGTCTTTGATTGATTGCACTGCAGCATTGCAATCAAAAGTCTCAAAATACACAACAGTATAGTGTTGTTCATTGTTTGATTGCAAGGGTTACGTTAACCGATGCCGTTAGATGGCTAGTTCAAAATAGAAAACATACACACATCCGTACTGACCTCGAGGACCCACATGCACCCACTTAAGTTTCTAAGAATGCACAAAAATCCTGTGTCTGTATCATAAATAATTTTGTTTAGGTACATGGAAGTAGCGTCGTCAGGATGCAGCATCAGGTGCTTAGCCCATGCGAAGTCTAGGACACACTCTTTCAACGCCTGAGTTTCTGTGAGCTTTCTGACGGGTCCATCCCAGGTTGCTGCATGAGTGTCCAGGAAACCTTTCACGCGTCCTCACTGTCAAACAGACAGCTCCGGGCTCCAACTAACTAAACAGGCCTCCCCTAAATGCATAGAACACATTAAACATGTTGAAGGGAAAATACATTTGGTAGAACACACAATGAAAAGTAATTTGTTAAAACAAGCCATGGTTCCTGGATAAAAGGCTTGGTATCGCTGAAGAACAGGTTGTCTGCTACATCCAATACCCTGTCCAGGAGGCAGCAACTTTCTCAGCGAATGGGGGGTGAAAGTCTTTTGGTCCTGGCGTTCCTGTACATTCGGGCCCCTAAGCCGCCGCTCTTTCTCAACTGCCTCTTGATTGAGTGCAACTTGGTGAAGTTCCCTAAAGTCTCTTTCTGCCTCGGCACCAAGCTCTTTGACCGCTGCTATCACATCATTCGCACATTTCACACGAGGCAGTGTTTTTCCCATAAGGGCATCCACCATCCTCTTCTTTTCCTCGGGGGTATCTTCTGGCCATAGCATATTTACGAGAGCCTCTGCAAAGTCCTGCTTCACCAAATTCCCTGACTTGCCGGATCCCTTGCCCCTTGGGGGGAGGGGATACTTGAGAATCTTTTGAATCTTCTGGAGGTCTGCAGCAGTCATGCAAACCCCCGCTTTCACAGCGCTCTTCAAAAGTGGTTGGGGTGGGCCAACCACCTCCCACACGCTACCAAAAGAGCTCAATGCATCAGGGATTTGGCAAGGCAAGCGAAGCTCAGTTGGAAGCATTTGCCACTTACCCTCTCCAGTAATCTCAGCGTTCATCATCCAGCGTGGTAGGCTACCAGTAGCAAGCTCTTTTTTTGTGACGATGTACTCCTCTCAGAAGGGGGGACACTAGTTCACCAGTGTGACCACTACCACCACTACAACTTCAATATGTTGTTTCAATTGTCATTTACGCTCCAGCCATCCCCTATTGAAAGCATCTAGTTAGTATCAGATGACACACCTAAATAAATTATATATATATATATATTACTATATATATTATAATACAAATTAAAGCATTTTTATTTGTGTCGTCTGTGTATTTTTTTCCGTTTATTGTTGGTCCTTGTCAGCCAGCTTGACTCTCTCCAGAGGAAATCCCAAAGCAGCATAGGAACGAAAACCCAGGCAAAGATAGGCCTTCCCCTTTTCATTCTGGTAGATCTTCCGCTTGAGGAGGAGACAACCTGGAGATAAATTGCTGGAACACAGACACAAAACACTTGAAACCAACGCCATAATTTATAACACAATATAACAAGAAATCTCAAGTGACCAGGCCAGATGAAAGGATTGACAATTTCCTGGTGATTGTTTCTTTCATTTGAAATAACCAGCCTGTCCATGCATCAGCAGCATGTCTGAAGTCACTCACAGCGTTTGAGATGATCCAGGCAGTCGCAGCTGCGCTGCGGTGGTTGGCGGCCGTCCCTGCTGATCTGTCAACCACCTTCAGATTGGAAGGCTTGTATCTCAAGCATGCAGGTAGAGCAAAAGCTTTGGGGATGTCAAAGGTCTTTCCGCGCTTTTTCTCATCTACAGAGAACCGAGTTTGTCCCACACAACGGGTGAAATCATTGGCAGTGGGCTCCAACCTGGTCCACTTGAGTTCGTCCTGGGATGGAGTGCACGTCATGTAGAAATAGCGTAGCCACCTCAGTTCACATGTTTATTGTAACTGATTCACAAGTCACGGGGCAGAGACCTACAGCCGAACATCAAAATTCAAAAGAAAACATCATTTAAGTAAAGGCTAAGGTTCTTTGACATTTTGAAGTTTCGTGCAAACCGCTTGACAACATCAGCTAAGTGCCCAAATGTGTCTTCCAGAAAATGCTTCGTGTTGGCCGGCGAGGAGAAGAGATACCACGCTAGTTGACGCACTTCTGCGTGATCAGCTTGCCACGCTGCCTGGTTGCAAACCAAGTATAGTTCCCGGGTCACTTGAGTGTTGTTCCATGCCATGTCTTTCAGGATCTGTTTAAGGGCATCCTTGGTATCCGCTGCCATCATGCCATCACCGTACACAAACTCCTCTGCTTTCAGCACAGCGTCCCAGATCTTTTTCACAAGGCGGATGCCCCTTTGACGCTCTTGCGGCGTCTCGTGGTGGACCAAAGAGAAGACATTAGGCAACACAATTGTATATTGACTCTGTGACCAGCATCTCGCAGAGCAAATCTCAATGGCCAGCACTGCGTACTTGTTGAGTAGTTCAATTTCAGTGGTATCCACCTCGTAGTGTTGCCCACGCTCTAACGAGATGTGCAGCTTTTTCATAGTCTCTGCATCATTGATGGAACACATAGTCTGGATGACGGTCGGGAACCACGTTTGGCCCTTTGAACGAGCTGCTCTCCATCGAAGTGTGGATTCCTGGAATACAGGCAACTTCAATTCAATTGTGATTGTTTTTTCAGTGATAAATAATAACAGCGGTTAGGCGTTCTAATATATTATATTGCAATTGTTTGGCAAATTAATTATGTTTGGCAAATTGGCAGTCTGTAGAGGTTCGGTCCTGTCCCTGCTTGTGGGCCTCCAGTGTGCTCTGGTATTCTCGCATAACCGCGCTGGATGCCCAGTACATTGCCTTGAACTCAAGGGGCAACAGCGGATCTTGGTAGTAGTGGCATGCCATTTCCAGTTTGTTGGAATAGTTGCGTCTGATCTCGTCAAGCTCCTTTCGGTTTTGCGGTCTCTGGAAAGCGCTGGTATTGGCGTCAGCGTCACCGTCACCGTCACCATCGTCAACATCACTATCGTCGATGTCCATGTCCTTCGACGGTCTGGGGATGGCAACGACAAAACAATTTATTCCGTGTGACGAGTTTCAAAGAAATGAATACAACTCGGTGTGGGCAACTATTAAATAAGAAGTGTTTTTGTTCAAAAAAACGTAAGCCGGACCAATAACAAATTCCAAAGCCCAGAGCAAGAAACTGCGGCGGCACTTGCAGATGCCTCTCTGCCTTTGGATGCTTTTTTTGGTCTTCGTCATGTCAACGGCCTTGCCAATGATCAGTTGGTTCAATGACCAGTCAAGCGCCAGAACATACATTGCGACAATGGATTGAAACCAGCTTTTGTACTTGGCCTTGGGCTGGACTTGACATTCCCAAATGACGAATGATTACTCTGGACATGTCTGGGTGAAACCAAAGCTGTGGTCATAGTCAGAACTAGAGGTTTGATCACCCAATCAATCATAAAAATGTGCTGAGCCCACCCCCTGTTTCTAAAATGTATGACCAAGCCACATAGATTGAAAGATTCTGCACAGCGGCCAGACTTGGCAGGTCTTCCTTTTGCTCAGGGATGTGGTTTACATAGTCCTCTCGCCCCCCTCTGTCTCGCAGCATAGCCTCTCGTAAGGCTTGAAACTCATCTTCAGTGAGGATCTCTGAGAGGAGCTCGGCTGTCTGAACACGGGTATATTGGTTGGACCCACTGGTGAAAGGTCCATGGGACATTTGCGATAGGGTGATTCCCAGGAGAAGTGCTGGTTGTAGGTCAGCACGCTTGTATGAATTCTTGAGGTCATTCCAGAAGGAATGTAGGGAGTCTGGTTCAGTGTATAGCCGAAGCCGTGAGTTGAAGCTCAATGCATGCAGTGCTTTAAACGGTAGGCATTCTTCGTCGGGTGACTCAGCTGACTGACCATTCTCCAAAGAAAATGACAACACCACCATGTCGTCATGTTTCAGAATTGAAGCAAACATATGTTTTCAGGGCAACAATCTAACTAACGTAAGACTCTCAGGATTTTGTGAGGATACTTTCAACACCAGCAATCTGAAATGTTTTTTTCTCCAGTGGCAACCGCAGGACATGACACATGACCAATGATTCTGGCAAGCTGCAGCAGTAAGCAGCGGTCGCTCAGCAACAGTGGGAGGGTCCAATACGCTCTGTGCCATGTCATCACCAGCCTTCAGCTGAACTCTTGGAACAAAGAGCTCAAGGCCATTGCCAAAAATTGATGCCATGCTCTTCTGCAGGCCCTTAACAACCGCCTAAGATCACTGCGCAGTTTTCATTTTGAATCATACAGGAGGAAAAGACCCGTGGGATGAACTAACAAATTACTCTTGTCAGTCAATATGACTAGTTAAGTTTCAATGGACAAACAGTGGATACACTGACTCAAGCCTCAGTCTAGTCTAGTATAGACTATCTAGATCGAATTCAACACAAATATGACATATTGCATTGTAAACACTGCATCCCAGGTTCGATCATCCCGAAAATGGTCTTCCTGCTTTTCTGGCTCATTTCCGAGCAGAAATCCATTTCAGCAGAGCCAATGTTCCTTGGCAGCAAGTTTCCATCCCAGGAAGGACTGTTATGGTTAAGTTATCAATCGAGCGTGCTACCAATGAACAATTTCAGTATGCCGGATTCAATTCTTAGTAATTGCACCTTCCTACAAAGACTTACTACCCGGTGACTAACTAGCACGACCAAAAAACTGGTCCAAAATAAAGCGTTTGGCGCACGGTGTGTCAAGTAAGTTGCTGGTTCATGAGCCTTTCTGATTCGCAGGCCCATCCAGGTAATACCTGGGCGCTTGAGTCAGGCTTGAATCTGTAGTTTTACACAGCTGCGAGGCGAATCGAATCGAAGTCAGTCAGCCAGTCAGTGTCCGTCAAGAATATGAAGCAGACTGATTGAATATAATATACTCTACAGTTTGAATTGAATCGGGTCTGTCAAGGGACTAGTCTAGTCAGTCTTGAGATCAAGTCACGATAGTGTCGATAGTGATTTCAACAAACAATTCGACAACTCCAGCCAACCGCCCAGCGAGATTCAGTCAGACTGACAAAAAATTGCAAAGTCTTCGGTTCTTTCCTTTTTCATGGGCCGAGGTCGGCAGCAAAGAAAGTATTTGAGCGCCCAGCCACACACTAAAATAAACAAAGTATACTTATACACGGTCAGAAATTAGCAGTATGTATTAGAGTGTATTCTGTTTTACAGTGACAGAGTGTTGTCAGAGTCAGAGTCTGGCGTCTGGGCAGTGCAGAAGACGTGTTTGCCACTCCTGCTGGAAACTGTGCGCGCTGCTACCTGGCTTTAGCCATGATTTTGTGAGTTCGATGTGGCCGGAGCGTGGACAGAAATTCTGATAAATACTGGTATTCAACACAAGACCAAACAAACAGTAACAGTCTGTTGCAAGCTATACTATAGTGAGACAAGGATTTGTTGGTTTGTAGTCAAACACCTCTTGCCCGAACCGCTCGATTGATTTTGAAGATGGCTGAGTCTCTACTCAATCCCTGTGGCAACCCTCAGACTCAGGAACCAAGCGAGCCCTTCCACCACAGCCGATCCTCACCACTGTGATGTCCTGGAGGCAGAGTTTGTGACATCAATGCTTCTGAATCTAATCCAGCTACTTACAAGTCAAGTACTTGGTTCGATCAATGTCCAAAAGTATTGAATAGAAAAATAACTTTCGCTATAATAGATGTCGTATCATAATATATAATATATATTATAATGAAGTTGCACTGGACCACTGGACTACTGCCAGAGTCACGTTAGTCTGTCAGGCAGCAAAGTAACAGGCAATATTATTTCCTCACTCGTCTGTAGGATCATCAGGCAGTCTCAGGTTAAGTGGAAGGACTGGCTGGTCAATTGACCATGCCTGTTTCTTCAGTGAACCCATTCAGAAGATCTAGAAACGATCTTTAAAATTTCACTGACACAGAACATAGCCCTTTGCCTGCCATCATTTCGATTCAGGCTGCCTGGCACTTCATCTCCGTCAATGTGGTGACGGACTCTAGCTCAAACCAATCACTATCCCTGCCTCCGCTTCTTGGAAGCAGGACCGGAAGCAACAGCATTGAGTCCTCGAGGCTTGCGCTTCTTTGACTCATCGGAGCTTGACATGACTAGTGACATCCAATTGATAGGCTTTCGTGTTGAGCTGGAGGACGAACTTGGATTTTCCGGAGTGAAGTCCAGATTGTAGGGGTTTTTGACCTTGGGATTCTTGGCATATTTGTGACCACTCTTGCCAAGCTTCTTCAACTGGTGGTTGCAATTTGAACAGTTGGTGCTCGAACTGTAATCATCCGTCTTGCGATCCGAAGAGTAGGACAAACGGCGTCGGGCACCAGCAGGTGGACTGGCCATGGAACGAATAATCCTGTGCTCAGGCGTCTTCGGCGGCTCTTTCTCTGCAGAAGTGGTAGCATCCGCTTCTGCTTCAGAAAGGCGAGTTGGGCTGCCACTGTCATTGCTTTCACTGCTCAAATCAATAACAGTGATCTTGGCATCACGGGTGACTCCATCCCCATTCTCAATGTCATGGACACGAGGCGTGTTAGGATCAACTTGCTCTTCAGCAGCTGTGTTGGGGCCAACAACTGGTTCTTGTTGTTCAGCATGATCAGCAGCTGCGCGCTCACGAGGATTCACGAGTTCTTGGTTCTCAAAGACATGAACTGGCCCATACTCCCGATGTTCGTCAAGGTCCCTCCGGCGAAGTTCACTGTACATCTTCCGGTACACCCCTTGGTCCGGAAAGGAGTTGTAGGACATGAAGGTTCTGGGAGATGGTGTTCTCGCTGACTCTGGAAAGTGAAGACACGCTGGGTTTCCCGGTGCCATGTTCACCTTCACCCATGACTGATGAGAATTCGGGTCCGCCATGTGTGACTGCGGGGTCTGACAGGTCGAAAATAGATGATCACTTTGTTTGCACAAGAAATTGCTGCGGTTAGCAAATAACTGAATGGCTCAACTTTTTTTGAAACACTTACATAATATGTAAAACATCAAACAAATAAATATATTGACAAGAAAACATATAACACGTAATCATCAATAAAATTAGAAGGACACACTTAATATGATGTAGAGACAAATAAATGCATATGGTTTAGGTGAGTAAACGTTTAAAAAGCAACAACAAAACTAGAACTTTAATTTAAGAGGAAACACATAACAAAAATACAAACATAATGAGTGTAATTTTAATACTCTAACATTATCGTGAGACACAACATTGTTTTAAGACACATAAAATTAGTTGTAAAAACATAATGTTAAAACATTATATAAAAAAAAGTAACGACACAGACAGTGACAGCAAAAGTTACGTTCACAAAATATTAAGCTACTAAGGAAAACATAAGATAATATTTCAAAAACAAATGAGCACTAAGATACAAAAAAATGAACAATAATAAGGTCGGTGTCGTCATAAGGAATACAATATCACATAAATAATAAAATTGTTTAACGACAACTAAGTAAACAACACATAATAAGAGACACAAGGAAGAACAAAAAACATATGCGAGACAAATTAAATAAATGATTCAAAACAATAATGTAATATTTAAATAAGGAAAATCTAAAGAAATAAGACAATGACAAAATAATGTCAACATTAATTAACATAAAAAAACACACACAAAAAAAAATATAGAACACTAATTAAACAGTAAAAGTAACAAAACATATAAATATATTCTTAAAAAACAAGTAAAAATATGAAACAAAAAAGAACAAGTAAGAGATAAATAGGGAAAAAAACACTAAACAAAATAATAGATAAATAATGAAAAATAAGGAAAAATAAGAGACAAATAAGGACAAATAAGGAAAAATAAGAGACAAATAAGGAAAAATAAGTAACAAATAAGGAAAAATAAGAGACAAATAAGGAAAAATAAGGTACAAATAAGGAAAAATAAGGTACAAATAAGGAAAAATAAGGTACAAATAAGGAAAA